GGGGCGGCCGGGGGCTTCCTGACCGCAGAGAAGTTGGCCGCCGAGAGTGCCAAGGAGCTGGTGGAGATTGCGGTGCCTGAGAACCTGGTGGGAGCCATCCTGGGCAAAGGGGGCAAGACGTTGGTGGAGTACCAGGAGCTCACGGGCGCCCGCATCCAGATCTCTAAGAAGGGCGAGTTCCTGCCAGGCACTCGGAACCGGCGGGTCACCATCACGGGCAGCCCCGCGGCCACGCAAGCCGCCCAATACCTCATCAGCCAGCGGGTCACCTACGAGCAGGGGGTGAGGGCCTCAAACCCCCAGAAAGTGGGATGAGGCCTGTGGTGTGTGCCCCCACCCCTCTCCCTGCCCCCCTCCTCCTCCTCCTCCTCTCCCATCTCCTGACCTCAGCTTGGTGTAGTCCTGCTCTTGGTGGCATGGGGCCGGGGTAGGCCTGGCCGAACCTGCCCCGCTTCTGGTAGTCATAGGCAGGATTGAGTACTGGCTGGGGACAGGGCCTGGAAGCCCCCTCCCCAGCCTTGAACTGACCCTTCCTCCCCCTCCCTGTGCTTGACTGGGCCTGCCCCTCCTCTCCCAGGGCCCAGGTCTGTGTGATATCTGTATATATTGCATTTTGTTGATTTTAATAGAAAACAAAGCGTTATTTTCTCTTTCTTTCCCTCCTTTTTTCCCCTCCCTCTGGTGAGGATTTCTTTCTTTCTTTCTTTTGTCCCCCCCTCCCCTTTTTACTTTTATTTCCATATTGGGAGGAGGGGAGGGGAGCTCTCTGGGTCACCTGGATTGAGGGGCCTTCCCAGAAACGCAACACCCCACCTCTCCTGCCTTCAGTTCCAGATTTGAGGGAAGTGTTGGGAGAAGAGGCATGAGAGGAGTCAGAGGAGTCAGAGCTGAAGTGGGGCCTTGAGAGCAGGGACCCCATAGATCCCAGGCTGTCTCGGCTACTCTCTTCTCCCCTCCCCCACCAGAGTTGCCTCCTCTAGGTGGAAGCTTTCAGTCTTTTGTTGTCAGGTTTTGGGGGGGTGGGGGCCTGTAGAGATTGAGGCCAGCTCTGGGATTGTGTCAGTCCCATGGGTAAGGCTCTTGTGAGAGACTTGAACAACTTCCTGTGGCATAAACTATGACTTTTCCTAGAGTGATGGCAATGAGATCCTCCTTTGTGGTTATCATTGAGGCAAATACTTCCAGGAGTGCTTTTGACACTCCTTATGATGTCACAGGAAGCAGTTCACCAAAGGTCACTTGCTATGCTGACGTGAGGAGCAAGGATTGTCTATGCTATTTGAAGGCACCTTTTTCCAAAGGTCATTTCAGTGACATCTTGGGGGCATGAACTTCCTGTGATGTCTTGAGGTCGCTTCCTGTGATGCCATGCAGTCATTTCCTGTGATGTCATTGGGATGAAGCATCTATTTCCTGTGGTGTCTTGAGGTTACTTCCTGTGACATCATTAGGATAGTATCTGCTTCTTGTATTGGGTCATGGCAGTTCTCTGCCCACACCCAATTAGATGGGATGATGGTCTGGGAAGTTTACCCAGGAGGAGAATAGAGGTGACTTGGATTAAGTCTGGAGGACTCTAAGGAAAAAAGACCCAGTACAGTGAGGGTCATCTCCATTCGAACACACCAAGTCTGTGAATTCACCTTGACGGAGCTAAGGGAGAACTGTTAAAGCCCTCCCTCACTATTCCTACCCCTGCCTTTTGTATGCATGCTTCTGTCTTTGTTTCATTGAGTGTTGGTGAGCCAGATGGTGGTGGCTGTCAGGCCAGCTTAGCTCGGCTGTGGAGTTCAGTGAGCCTTGGTAGGGTCCTTCGGGCCAGAATATTTTGTGGGTTCTGATGAGTTAGGTTGGCATGCTGGTTTCTGGTAAGCTGACATACTTTGGTGACGTCTGATAGATCAGAATGTTTTGATGTGATTCACCATGGGCTCTGAGGAGCCGAAAAGACCAGACAGCTCTGAGAGTTAGTTTGGAAGTGAACCCCAGATGACTGCGGCTGTGAACTGCTCTAAGGACTTGGTGGATTGAGATTTTAGGGCCTGACAACCTATGGATTTAGGATAGCTGAGACCCATCCTCACCCTATATACATTCCCCTGCCCCTTGGAGCCCACCTCCACTTTCTCCAACCCAAAGCAGGGCTTCTAAAGCCCTACTTCTGTCATCAGCATTTCTGGGGGAGGGGCATCCCACACCCACCCACCCACCCTCCCCCATCTGTCCCTCTCCTAGGTCTTCCAGACCCTTCTCTTCTCCGTGGCTTTGGGGGCCAGGGCTCCCTCTTTCTCAAGAAAGGAGGGAAGAAAAGCCACCTAGATAATTTCCATCCCTAAAGCCAGGGAGATCCCCCCTGCCCCTCAATAGAGGGCTACCCTCAAGTCAAAATGTGAAAATCCCTAGAAAGCAATAGCCCTCGAGGTATCTTGCACTGAATTCCCCAGTCCAGCCCTTCCACCCAAGGGAATGTTGGAGCTTGGGCAGTAAGGGGACTTTTTCTGTACCCTCTTCATCTCCAGGGTGGGGGGCCAGGCCCCATCTCCCCCTCTCCAATGCCTCATTTCCCATCCCTAATCTCCAGACTGAATTCAGATGGAGATCTGAGTGCCAAAACAATTCTTGATAAAACTTTGTACATATCTTCTGCAACTGGGGGCTCTTAGAGTTGGAGATGAGATAGCTCTTTAGGCCATGGCTCCTTCCCACCTCTCAAAAGACCTTATTACAGTATTTCATACCTACGTGTGGGTATTGCAGTATCTGGCTAGTATATCCTTCTACAATCCCCCAGGCTGTCGTGATGAGGGGAAAGAGGCAGAGGTAGAGTTTGGGCATGGGGAGGTGGGGGTCTGAAAGTGGTCATTTGCATCTCATTTACAACTTGTTTGCATCCCCAGCTGCCCTAGACTTGGCAGAAGCTTTCTATAGACCCATCAGAGGGGTCTAAGTCCCAATCAGCAGGGCCCAGTACTCCTCTCACTCATACAGATACAACTCTGGAGGCTGGGCCTCCTGAAAAGTGTTCCCTTGGGGTGTCTGTGTGACAGCCTCCTCTTCTCATTTCTCCGTGATCCCTCCAGCCAGGCCTCTCAGCGAGGCACTTTGCTAGTTCAATGAGCTAGCTCCCTCCCCATTTTGGTGAGTGGGGAGCCACACACCTTTCCTCATTTTACCTGGGAACTCACTCCACTGTCTTCCCCATCCTTTGACATTCCCTTCTGCAATCTGACCTCAATCTCTTGTGCTGCAGTTTGTCCAGAGGGGACACAGATGTGGGGTTAGGAATTAACTGAAAATCCCATAGCCTTTCCCCCTTCCCCATTAGCCAATCAGATCTCAAAGATTCTGATGGCCTCCCTGCACCCTGTTCTTCAGCACCCGGTAGGTGCTTAATAAGTGTTTATTTGCTGCATTGAATGGTCTCATTTGCCCTTCAGCCTCCCGGATTTTTACCCAGCATCTCCCTCTCACTCTCTTTCCCTGGAACTCTGTGACTTTCCATAGGTCTCCAATTGTTCCATTGCTGTCTGTCTTGTCTGTCTGTGTCATCTTTCTCCTCTCTCTCCCTCATTTCCTCATTGACTTAAAAAAAAAATTGTGCCAAACTTCCTTAGAACTGAGCCGCTCTGGGAGGAGAGGACTTCGATAGAGATGGGGAAACGGGACCATCTCTCTTGGAGAAGGCTCCTAAAAGGCAATGAAAAAGTCTGTAAACACTTAGCTAAACTGGGTCCCTCTTCTTCAACCCTCCTACCCTAAATTTTTCTTAGAATCTTTGTAAGAAAAAAAAAAAAGACAGGAAAAAAACCCCTCTTCAGCAACCCTTGCCCTTTTGGATCCCCCAAATTCCACCAGCCGGGGAGAACCCCGTTTGCCTCCAGCAGGCAAAATAGTAAAAATTGGGAAGGGGAAGGTCTGCTCAAACCCTCCTCTGCTGGCCCTGGGAGTCGTGCCAGCTGGTTTCGAGAGAAGGATCGCAAAGCACTTACGGAAAGAAGGGGTTCAATGTGCCAAATTCACCTCCTTCATCCCCCATCTCAGGGGGCTCTGAGCCAACCTTGCCCCAGCCACCTTCTGCCCTATCCCAGCCATCTCTTCAGGGGCAAAGAGGCTTAACTGCAATAATTAGTAGGGGACAATTGTGCCATCTTTATCCGCCCTGACGCCTGCCCTGGACTTGTGGATGGGAACCATGGGTTCCCCAAATGGCATTTGGTATGAGTCGATTCATAGACGGTTGGGAATTCATACTTGGAATAATATGGTACCACTTGGCTATGAGTGGTATTTTCTTCTCCCCTTCTAGATTCTTCCAAATCCCTCAATATCCTCTTGTTTGGATTCGCCTGCCTGTTCCTTCTGATTTGTTTCTGCATGGTGGTCAACTGTTTGGAAAGTGAGAGAATCTCCCCCTGCACTGATCCCTGCTCTCTGGGGAGCTGGATTAGAGGTTGTCCGATTGAGCGGTTGAGTTGCTGCAGATTGGGCGCATGTGCTGTCACGATAGCCAAACCGGCCACTGCACCTGCGCGGCAGTCGGGCTGTCGCGAAAGCCGGAACTGGCTGTTGCGACAGGGAGAACGGGATCGCGATGCCCCGTTGATGGTGCTGCATTTGGAGCGTGGCTTGATTTCTCAGAAGTTGCGACACTCAGACCTGCCATCGCGATCCCTCTCCACTGCAGTCAGCTGTCTTGACCTCTGTGTCGAGGGAGCTCTGTCCGTGGAGCTGCTGCTGTTTGGTGGTGTCGCCATTCCCATCGCGATAGAGTCCTGGTGGACGGGAGGGGATGGGAAAAGCCTCGGCGGGGGGGGGGGGGGGGGGGGGTCGGGTGATGAAAGCTGCTGGTTTTCTAACCTCTTCTCAGCCAGTCCAGGATTACTCTTGTCTCCCAGAGATAATTGGGGGAACTGCCTAATTTCCCTCCTTCACCTCCTCCTTTCCCACCCCCCTATCCCCCAAAACCACCAACCTCTCATCTTCTAAGTGACTCCATCACCACTGGCCACCGGGACTACGGCCTCATTGCTCCAGCCCGCCCCACTCGACCGTCAGACTCGCTCATCGAACTCTTTTTGATTAACCCTTTCTGTGTTCATCCCACGGAAAACTGTGTGTCCGGCGGGGGGGAGGGGGGAGGCGAGGGGCAGTAGCTACCTTTCCTCCATCTCCTCCCACCGCCCATGCCTTCCCACCAGCTCCCTATCCCATGCCCCACCCTTCATCCCTGGGGTCCGCCCTCCCCCTCAATCTGGGGGAATCGAGATCCTCTTTAAATAATCGATGCTGTTTGGCTTTGTCCCTTTAAAAGGCGG